TTATAAATTAATTTTTACAAAAAAGCTTATAAAATCTTAAAGTTTAACTTGTCACATTTTATTAAAGAGACTTTCTATTTCATGAAATGACATTGTTCAGCTGCAATAATTTGCAAGCTTGAGAGATACAATTATTTTTTGCAAAAAGGATACCGAAAAAATGTCTTAAATGTATATGTTTTAAATTTCGAGAAAAAGTCTCAATATGTGGGGCTCCAAAACGGAGCACGGAGTTTGGAATTAAATCTATCAGATGTAGCGCGCTGAGTTAGCTGAGCGCGCTACACCTGATAGATCGAGCTCCGCGCTCCATTGTGGTACTTATATTCGATTGAGAATCTGAAATCCAAAGGCGACAAGAAGAAAAAGAAGAAGCTCCGCATTCCGTTTTGGAGCTCCACATATTGAGGCTTTTTCTCAAAATTCGATTCTTCAGCTCCGAGCTCCGTTTTGAAGCTTAAGCAACTTGTAGGCGCGCAAAGCGACAAGGAAAAAAAACAACACAAAATAGAATCTCTGAAAAACCGGCCAGAAAGTGTATAACCAGGTTTCTCTTTGAAAAAGTTAATATGGCAGCATTAACAAATAAAGATTTATTCTTTTTCTTAAGAAATTTAAATTCTACTATAACTTATAAAGAACAATTGTTCGATTTCGTTGTAGAAAAATTGAATATTAATTTATCAGAATCTGGAAAATCCAAAAAAATAAAAAAATATTTACGATCATTTTGTTATAACGCTCGTACACGATGGAACAAGTCATGCAGAACATTACAACATTTTGAAAAATATAATAATTCATGGCTTAATAAACAATTTCAAATTCCAATTAGTATAAATCCTGAATCATCCTACGAGGCTGCATCATCATCTAATAAATCTTTTGACGAGATTACTGAAAGACACAAACGAAGGCGAACTCAAGATCTGCGAGAGTCTAATTCAACAGAAGTTCTCCTTTATGCCACACAAAAGAAATTATTAAGCGATGGTTCCACAGACATGGCAAAGATATTGGATTATCTTATAAAAAATCCAAACGAAGCTAAGAGAGTGAGAGATTTTTGTGAGAATAAAATAGAAATTCCTTTATATTCGAAAGAGAAATGTTTAGCTTTACTCCTTAGTTTAAACCTGTCTAAGTCGCAATATTTACATTTAAGAGAAACTTGTATTGAAAGTGGCACAAATCAGTATGTATCATATTATAATGTGCAACAAGCAAAGTCAGAATGCTATCCGCCAAAGAATAAAATAATAATAACTGAGACGATCGCTTCAATTGAAGTACAAGAAATTTTAGATCTCACGAGTAAAAGATTACTTAGAGTTTGCGAACAAAATTTTGAGAGTACTAAAGTTTTGAAATTAATTTGCAAGTGGGGTTTTGATGGAGCTTCTAGTCAAAGTACTTACAAACAAAAATTTCAAGATGAAAACGTATCGGACGATTCTATTATTATGACTAGTTTTGTTCCCATTAAATTAATGAGTGATTGTGATATTGTATGGTCAAATCCAAATCCGTCCTCAACTCGTTATTGCCGACCAATAAAATTTGAATTCGTTCATGAAAATACGGAAATTATGAAAAAAGAATACAAAAGAATGCAAAATGAAATAACGAACTTGTTACCCACAAAATGCGGAAATGTAACAATAAATTATGAAATGTTGTTCACCATGAT